GGGGCATTGTCACAGGTACATGATCGTGATGTTATCCAATTCATCTAGAAAAACGTAATCTACAGGTTTGGAGTTCCGAAATTAAGTCACCGACAATGGGTCACAATTTATGAACGGTGGATTTCAAAATTTCTACAAAGAATGGAACATCAAGCTGAACTTTTCCACTGCAAGTATCTCCAAGCCAACGTCTAGACCAAATCTTCCTACTAAACTATCATGGAGACATTAGAAAAGACTCTATGAAGCTAAGGAAAAAGGGAAAATGAGCTACTTGGAGTCCTTTGGTCCTACAACACCATCATTCGGGCATTGACCAGTGAAACTCCGTTCTCTTTAGCTTACAGCATGGAAGGAGTAACACTAGTGGAAATAGGCATACTAACATTTTGGTATGAATAGAAAATCGATGAATATAGTCAAGTTCAATTTTACCATACATTAGATTTAGTAAATGAATGGAGATGGGAGCATTGGTTCGTACAGCTGCATATTACAAAAGATTACCCAATACTTCAACCGACAAATAAGAACTAGAACCTTCAAAAAAAGTGAGTAGGTACTACGAAGTATATTCCAAAACACCAAAGACGGTGGTGTAGGCAAACTTACATCAAATTGGGAAGGATCATACCTACTCAAGAAAGTGGTTGGTAAGGAGCCTACAAGCTATGCATTTCAAAATGGAAGAGACATCAACAACATTTGGATTTCATCAATCTTCGCAAATATTATTTCCAAATCTTCTAAATTCTTGAATTTTCATTTGAAATCAAAACTGACATGCATCGAAGAGCTATAGGTGGTCCTAACCTCTCTTTACTTTCAGGAGAATTGGTAGATAAAGTTCTAGACGGTCCGAACGAAGTCAAACTAAGCATGTGTTGTTCGTCACCCCTCAATCATGGAACATCATCTTTCTTTCCTTATTTATTTTGAAATTTTCTTTTTGAGTTAATTATCACCGTCAGAATCTACACTAACTTGAGCATCAGATAGTCGATGGCAGAAATGTCATCAATGGCCTTAATTTATCTTTGCTCTCAAGAAATACACTATCTAGAATAGAACATCACTCATCAAGTTTAAGACTTACCTCATCATTCAAAATTTGGGAAGCCTTGAATTTGGGGATGAAGATCTTATATAGCTACCAAAAAAATCGGATCGACACCACAAGACTTCCATCAAGCCATCTGAATGAAGATGACCACACGGTTTCCATCAATCCATTTGAATGGAGATTACCACACAGTTGCCATCAAGCCGTTTAGAGGAAGGTAGCCCTAATGTCACCATGAAACCAATCCAAATAAAGACTAGGTTATTTTAGAACTTGGGCATCCTTCAAGCCGCCATGACATTACCCCTCATATCGGATGCACCATCTTCGGGCTGCTCTTTTAACATATTGTGCATACCATGTATTTAGCACAACTCAGCATACTCGGCAATTGTTTTGTCCACATTCTAGCTAACATGTTTACCTTTCTTGTAATCATTCATAAGGAATGCTTTTGTGGCTATCTCAACCTTTAGCCGACAGTTCTCCTAGCGATCTTCTAAAGAAGCAATCTGAGCTCCCAAAAAATCTTTCAAGCTCCCCTTTCAACGCAAGTTTTTAACTAACCATCCCAGCTGACTTATCTATGGCCTTTTTAGCAGCCAGACAACATTTTTTTACCAACCTTCAAATTTTCAACTTCTCCACGTAATGAGACATTAACATCTTGTAGTAAGAGCACCCTTCTAGCCTATCTAATGACTTTATTCTTTTGAAAAATAGCACATTGCAATTTCTGTAGTTCATAAAGAAAAGTTAGGTTCAATCAAGTAGGTTATCCATAATGAAATATATGAAAAATACTATATTTAGAAAATCCGAGTTATCGTGCTTTCAGTTGCCTTCACTTGACCAATTTCATTATAATGTGTCTGATCTTCAGGAAACAAAAGACCTTCACCAAGTGCCACCACCCCTGGGTTAGAAAACGTGAATGAATCGAATGGAAAAGTAAGCACAATCGAATCATCATCCACTGTGACAACTTTAGAAGACCGTGCTTGTGAACCACTGAGATGAAGCATTATGAAGCTTGGCCTAACTCGAAAAATTGTTAGATGAAATTGGAGTGTCAACTAGCCCCATAGAAGAATAATCGTTCTTAGACTTCTTCTCATTTCTCCTCTCCAAAGCATTGAGCGAAAATCCTACCATCCTTAACATGACTCGATCTGCAATCAATCGGGTCAATTGAACCGTACAAAGTTAGGTTGCTACCTTTAATTTTCAAACCTCTTTTTACCAATATAATAGGGACCAGATGTTTTGAAAAATCAGAAGCAGTATTGCTTAGTTCTATTGAAATATGATCCCACCAACTTCTAGAACTTCCGAGGAAAGGAGAAACTGACAATGCCTTTGATCTTTGTACATTGTTAAGATTTTTGAAATATGCTCCTTCATGAACAGGACTTTGACAAGCTGTGTTGACGCAATGACCTATAGAAAAATGGAATACGAACCTTGAATTAGTAAAATGTATTGTGAGGAAATAATCTATAGAACTCATTGTGTGACCACTGAAAGAGAGCAATAATCTTCCGACCAAATCAAATCATCTGACACAAAAAAATAATAACATTTCCAGCCATATCTTTGGAAGAAAGGCCAACCATCAATCGATAAGGTATTTTCCTTACATGTAAGGAAAATCGACCTTTCAAATCATCATAATTCCTTATGAAGTAATAGTGCAACAACTTTGGTATGCAAAATGTAATAATGTACCACTTGACCAAGACTTGGAGGACGAAGTATAATTGCCAAGAGTTGGGCATAAGTTACGTTTGTGCAATTTCATATTGCTCTAACACGATATCAACCATTTAAGGAATCGGGAATCGAAAGTCATCTTCAAATGTCAACACGTATAAAAACATCCAACTCGAGACATTCCAAGACACTCTTTCGTTCAGCTGCGATAGACAGATGATGGAACACCATAGGCATTTCGAAATCTTATCGAGTCAATTTTCGTTAGTTTGTATGATATGTTATTAGTAAACATAATATCATTCATGCTAGGATGACTTTGTTCAGAAAAGCTATGTCTAGGATTGTCACCGTCAAGATCTGGACCGTCCGGATCACTATCAATGCAAAATGAACTCGGACTATCCCAAAGTAGATAGTACATATTGTTGACCCCGAAAAATGAGCCAACATATGTCAGGTCCACTCTCGCCGATCAAAAAGTTTCGGCGAGTTTCTACGGAAGATCCAATAAGAAAGGAAACGGATGTGAACATACTCTACGGCAGGAGATAAAAGTGTTCAAACTCTGGCGGGTGAAACAAGGATGATCGCGCTAACAACGATCACTAATTGAGAACCAATGTAACTAACCAAAGACCTAACTAGAATATGTGAAAGGATAAAAGATAGTATGAATAGAAATTGTAAGATTGTGTATTCATATATTTATGTACCAAGAGTGTGTAATGTAGGTTGAAAATGCTCACAAAAGTGTTTGTAAATATTTCTTGCTCGTTCAATATTCAAGAGTTCATATTAAGAATCCAGAATTCGAATCATTTCTAAGTTACAAAGAGAACCTATTTATAATGCATTGGCCGACGTGGTATCCATTGGATCAGAACAATGTGGCCTCATCTCCTAGTTGAGGATTCACATCACGGTCTATTTATACAATTAATACATTGATAAGGAGTCCGCTGCCCTATACAATAAGTTGACACACTGACATTCTTTATTACAAGTGTTACACAATCACTTCTAAAAGATCTTCAAATATGTTGTAAGAGATAACATCGACTTCATGAGCTTCGGATGAATTGAGAACCTCGGAGGAATCTTTGTGTTGGTCCTCTATGTGGAGAGTTCCAGCTCCTTTCTTTGTTTCTTTAGGCAGTGTTTCAACCCAAATTGTAGTGATTCGCCCGTTGAAGCAGTGCCTCGGTACAAGGTTCGGTAGTTTGCATAATTTCTTTATATTTGACCACTTAGGTCTTTGTTGACTTTTTTGTTGACTTTTTGCCCATGTGGATTGTTACGTGGCACTTTGACTTTGAGACTCGGTTGCGATGTATAACAATAGTCCTCCAAGTCTATGCATTACACTATTGTTACACCTCACCACGAGGCTTAAGTTAAAGTGCTAAGTAACAATCCACTTCGGCAAAAAATCAACATAAAAGTCAACAAAGGCCCAAGTTGTCAAATATAAAGAAATTATGCAAACTACCGAAACTTGTACTGATGCACTGCCTCAACGGACGTATCACTACAACTTGGGCTGAAACACTGCTTAAAGAAAACTTGGGCTAAAATGCTACCTAAAGCAACAAAGAAATGAGCTGAAGCTCTCCACTCAGATGACCAACACAGAGACCCCTCAAGGCTCTCTATTCATCCAAAGCTCATGAGTCGACGTCGTCTCTTACAACTATTTGAAGATCTTTTAGATGTAATTAATGTAACATCTGTAATAAATAATGTCAGTATGTCAGCTAATTGTATATGACGACTGACCTCTTATCAATGTATTAATTGTATGAATAGACAGTGACGTGAAACCTCAATTAAGGAGATGAGACCACGTGATTCTAATCCAACGGACACCACGATAGTCAAGGCACTATAAATAAGTTCTCTTTGTAACGTAGAAAGGATATAAATTCTAGATTCTTAATATGATATCTTGAACATTGAATGAGCAAGAAATATTTACACTTTTGTGAGCATTTTCATCCTCCATTACACACTCTTGGTAGATAAATATCTTAATACACAATCTTACAATTTATATTCATACAATCTTCTATCCTCACATATTCTATTTATATCTTTGGCTAGTTACTTTGGTTCTCGATTGGTGATCTTTGCTATCGCGATCATCCTTGTTTCACCCGCCAGAGCTCGAATACTTTTGTCTTCCGCTGTAGAGTTTTTCCCGCGTTCACGTCCGTCTCCTTTCTTACCACTCACACCGAAACTTGCTTGACTTGACAAGAGTGAACCGGACAACTGTTGGCTCATTTTTCGGGATCAACACGTATGATATAACGACTTCAACATAAAGGATCGAGTAGTTACACAAGTCATTGTCCAAATTCAATTAAATCAAAAACAATTGTTTTTCATTTGACTCGTGTAAGATTAATATATTCATACCTGTCTGCACTTCTTTATATAAACCAATTGAATTCAAGATGACCTGAAATCTGAAGAAATAAGATCAATTTTAATGATGAACTACCATTTTTTTTTCTTTCGCAATTTCTAAATTGCTAATTATTAAACTACAATATGAAAGTTCCGCGAGAAAACAGCATATGGCGTATACTCTATGTTCCATTACAAATTATTTGTTATGCCAAGCAAAATGAAGCAATGCTTAGCTTATTTATGGATGGGGAAAAAATACCCCCAAAACAGAAACAGCTCACTGTTAATTGTGGTGGTTTGCTAGATACTCTGAGCCATTTTGTCTGTCAACTAAATAATCATGCAGCAACCTTCTTGGAAGTCACAGAATTAATAATGGTGGCAAACTCAGGGCCCTGCAACACAGAAAATTGAAGATCAATCTCAAGCTTGCTATCCCGAGATAAATGAAAAGCTTCAAACACTGACTCAGTTTGTAACTGGGCAAGGCCAGCACACCCCACTTTTGGGTGGCCCATGCTGGGAACCGATACGGTTCCATTTTTGACCTGGGATGCCTAAAAATAAATAGGCCTGCCACAATCACATTTTCCTCAATCCAAAACATAAGGTGATAGCCTGGTATACTGGGAATTTCCCAGGAGGTCTAGAACCTCGGCTCAAATTCCATGTATGACCCGGTTTTCCAGAATTACATAAGCAACAAACAAAATCACATAGAACCAGCTCAACCATTTTTATCTGTACTTTACAATCCACAATTTACAGATTGATACAGCACATAATTCATAACAGCTAATCAGTTAGTACATACATGTTATGTATCAATGCCAACAGCTTTATGGTATGAAACTCATGCCCACCATTCTCGAACTAGTCCTGCTCCTCTATGGGTGCTAGTCGAAAGACGAGGACAAAGGATCTTTCAAAGATGCAAGTGTGATCAGCTCCATATAGAAGCATCTAATAGTGATATTGATGCAATCAGGAAATATTACTCTATCATTTTTACATACTAGTTAAAGTTGAGCGTGCAGTGCTCGTTATTCTGAAATACTTTATAAGTGCTGTAAAAGAAATATTTAATACAAATTTGTTGGAAGGATTCGAGTCTCAAACAAATTAAAGAAAATAAAATTTAAGAGAATAAAATTATACTCTCAAAACTCAACTTCTATTATTCAAATTTTTTGTGATAATGAAATACTACAAATGAGTAACCTTTTTATACAACATTTGGTACATAAGAATTAATTGTTAATACATGAAATTAAACACTTATTACAATTATTGGATATATGAATAGAAATAAATTCATCTATAACAACTCTAGATTCATGTATATCAAGATTCATTGAGTCTAGATTAATGTGAATGTTAATTAATTGAGAATTAATAACACGAAATTAATACATGATAAAGATTTTGTAGTATTTACTACATATTGAAAAGCGAAAAGTAAAATATTATTGAAATAATTGAATTGTAGTAGGGTTAAAATCGTCCAAAAAATGAATCTCACTTGATGTGATATTTAATATATTATAGATATAGGGACATACAAGTTGTCATTGAGACAAGGAACCACTATCTTTATACAAGTACAGGGAACATTGCTAACTGCGTATTTTGGTAAAATGGGAAACATAGAGAGCTATCTCCTTTCACGTGTTTTATTCACGAGCATGTATTAGAAACTTATTCAGACACAAGGCAAGAGCAATGAGAATATGGGAAAGAAATAAAGCAAAGGCGTGTGTCCATTTCATATATTATATGTTGACATAGACCACGTGAATACCATGGAATACCTTTAAGGAAGCGCCACCCACGAGAAATCCATCAATATCTTCTTTTTTTGCAAGCTCTGCACAGTTACCTCCATTGACCGAACCTGTAGAAAAATTTTGAAAACATTCAGAAAATGTAAATAAATTGGCCAAATGTGGCAATTAACCATTAACATTAACTAAGTTTCCCAGTCAATTCATGATTCAGTTGATACTAGCTTGCTTCTTGGAGACAATTATGTGTGATTGAGTGGAGAAAAATCAGCAATTTCTTGGTACTCATGAGTCATGATATGCCCATTGAGAAAGGGCGGGCGGAGATATAATGGACAGATTTTCAGTGAATCTTGATGTTTACGATAAAAACTACCTACCTCCATAAATAATACGCGTTTTAGATGCAACTTCTGCTGAAACATTCTTACTAAGCCAATCGCGAACAGCTACATGCACTTCCTGAGCCTGCTCTGGTGTGGCCACTTTACCAGTTCCAATAGCCCATACTGGCTCGTATGCAATGACAACGTCATCCCAACTTGGCACAGCATCTGCACATCGTGAAAGTGTAAAATAAGCTGAAAATTCAATGAATGATTTCTTAAAAGGATTACAGTATGACCAGATTGATCTAGGGCGAGGGGAGCACATCTCAAAAGGTACAGAATTAATTCAGAGAAAGAGAGGAGCTATGCTTACCCGCAAAAGCCTTCATTTGCTGAAAACAGACGTCAAAAGTTTTTCCAGCTTCCCTTTCTTCTAAAAGTTCTCCGATGCAGGCTATTACTCCAAGATTCTGGCTCAAGGCATATGCAGCCTTCTTTCCAATAAACTGCACAACATAGTTATTTCATAAATCAGAGACTAGTAGCTCTTTCATTGGAGAAGTAAAGCATTAAAAAGATCCTTCATTGACGTTACTTCATTATTTTCTCCAAGTATATGTCTACGTTCAGAGTGCCCAAGAACAACCCACTTGCATCCAAGATCTTTTAGTTGTTCCACACTACACAAAAAAGCTGAAACTTGCTTATTACATGAAACAAAGTTGTAGAATCCACGATATCAACACATTCAAATAGAACAAAATGTACCAACTCAAATCACTATAGTACCAAGGTTTGTAATGAAAAAAAAAATACAAAAATGAAAGGAGAAAAGGCATGGGTAAATTTACTAATATGGTAAACACTACTGACAACTGGACTATCCACCACACAAAAACTTAATTTTGACAAGATGGCCCATCAGCCAAGGAATCAGTTTCTTACAGCTCAACCAATCAATATTTATTTAAAACATGATCAATAAATTGACTATTCAAAAAGCAAAGAACTGACTAGATAACTCATCCATTGCTGATACAAGCCCACGGCATGTGGTGCCATAGGAAATTTAGAAAATTTGTAAGCCAAAACTGCTATAAAAACCTGTATTTGAAACTACATCTACTTCAAATATCACCATGTACATATCCCACCAAACATCAGTACTACGAACTAATGCCACCACACTAGGCACATTTAACCTAAATTAGGTTCATGTACTCCTGTGTTATGCCATCAGAAGTCGAAGACAATATGATTTTTACTTTTTATTGTCTCTGTGCTATATGCATCACACATATCCCAATCAAGAGAAGTTTGATTCTTTCCACAGCAGCAATATTATACGCCAGGCAACACCATGGTAGCATTAACAAGCACAGTAAAGAAACTTTAGTGGTTCAGTTATTTCTTGTCCCAAACAAAATAGCACCTGATTCTTGGAGTACAGGAGTAGCATATCACTGACAATCTAAGCTTATATAGAAAGACACTCGCCTGATCTCTCCAGTAAAAGCACCACCTTTTCCAGTCCAACAATTCTGTGCAGCTATCTCTATCTGCTCAGTTAGTGAGTTTTTTACTTGATCGAGGTAAACAAAAGGAGGTGCCACAACCACATCTGCAAAGGTCAAAGGAAAACTGAGATCCAAATACTCAGCGAATAAGTAAAATGGAAACTAAAAAATATCAGATGTAGGAGAAAATTCCCATTTCCAATATGACATGTTTGATACACAAGACAAAGTGGCAGAAAAATTAAGAGATAAAGAAGCTCAAAAGGAACACTGTTCCACCTTCCCCTTCTCTCTTTCTCATCAACATACTTCAACACAATGGATAACAGATTACGTGCACTATATATTTTACAAAATGATAAATCTTTATGCATCATCTATATATTTCTCCAGTAGATATTCTTTGCCACAATAGATATCATACAATTGCTCATCGGTAATAAAGAAATTCGCATGCTGGTCTAAAGTCTTCAAATGTGACATAGCATCTACTATTTCAGATAAAAACTAAAGTTTCCAATTATAAATGATTGCAACTGGTATTAGGAACATCAACTAATTAATTAATTCAAGTCTAGAAGTCTTGATGTTCAACATCCTACATTGTAAAATACCGTGAGGCTTCAAATTCAGAATGCAGATGCTCAAAACAGCTAGACATCTGTATATTTTCAAAAACTACATGAAGCTCAACTACACGGAATTATTAGAAATACGATAGAGCTGAAGAACTACTCCCGTCTCTTAACTAAGAGAACATTAAGCACTTCTCTTTATACAGATAAGATATATGAAACATTAGCAGAGAGATGTAACTCACCAACATCAGACTCCAACGTTGCACTGTTCAAGTCAGAGACAAGCTTGCTTATGGAGTCTTTTGTCCCATTCTAAGTAAAATATAAAAAAAATTAGTCAAGCAAAGTTACCAAAAATAGGAATGATCGTTCACCAGCATTTAAATTATTAAATCTATAATACACACAGAAGAGATGGAAGGGAAAAAATAGATCACTTCTAAAATTCTAAAAGAACGCTAAATCCATGGTTGTATGCCTCAAATAGCAAGAAATCCAAATAAGTTTTGAACTTTAATAAAGTTACAATATTCTTTTGACAGATGTACAAGTAAACTGTAATAGTTTTAACACAAATTTTTTTCCAGATCTCTTTGAAAGTGCTCCCTACTTTCACATTTCACTGGACGTAATTTCAACTTTTTAAGAAACTGTCTCTCTCTCTTTTTTTTTTTTTTTTATAACCATGGATGTCCAGGTTAGCTTGCACGCACCTTGACTAACCCCACGGGCCTGAAGTTTACGACCGGATACTCACTGGCTGAGGGGACTCGAACTGGTGACCAAATCTTTGAAATTTAAAGGATTATTTTATGTTGTTGCTTTTTCATGTTATCCTCTTGTTATATCCATTATTTGCCATTTATATTCCTCTAGGCTTTAACATATTTTCTTCAGTGTTACAAATCACTACCATCTGGTATCATGCAATAAGGGCAATGGGTTCAGTTAAAACTTTAAACTATTTTCAGGTAATTCCATTCAACTCGTCTTAAAATTAGCTAGGATACTGAACCACTTCAACCAGCTGATCTGATAAAGAAATCATTGTTCACATTAACACAAAACTTTTATAAACTTAATTGAACTAAAGATAACGAAATTGACTAATGACAAAAAATAAATTATACTTACACACTTCCAGTTTCCACCAACAAAGAACTGCAAGCAAAAGGGAAGACAGATTAGATTTCGAATATATGAAGTCCATAATGCATTAAACTCGGCATTTTCGGTAAATTACAATTACAAAATTATTTTAAAAACATAGTATACACGAAAGCATTAACGAACGTTACAATAACATCAGCACATTCATAAAACCGAGCTGGACTATCGTAATGTTAATATAAAAGTACCAAATTGACAAACGCACGACCAAAAACAGTAGTTCAGTTCATTATTTCTCAAAGTAATACTAGATCTGAAAGTAACTAACTCAAATCGAACCAAAACTCACGAAATCTTAAATTCACCTTGCCAGAGCCAGCCATGGTGACGACGCCGCGACAGCCTTTCCGAGATGACGAAAGGCGGAGGTGAGAATCCACATTTTGGAAGAAAGAGTGAGTTGAGTTGAAATTGGAGTTGTCAAGCTTGAGAAATGACTTGCGGATGCCGGAAAAGTGGCCGGAGAGTTGAGATCCGATTCCGGTGAGTGACGTGGACACAACTGCCATACGTGTGTACTCTTGTTAGAAGCGGCTAGCACCTATCTATTTCTCTATCCGGTGGTAGATGTTGTAGGGATCTGATTTCAAGCCCTTCCTAAATATGTGGCTTTGTTTTTTACGCTAATAGCCTGTTTACTGAATATATCGCGTCTGTTTGATGTATATTATTTTGGAAGAATATATTTTGAAATAGTAGATTAATAAAAAATATGTGGTTAAAAAAGAAGAAAAAATTATTGATGTGATGGAAAATATTATTTTATTGAAGAATGTGTGGTTGAAAATGAGTAGAAGAATGAGAATGAAAATTTTAATGAGTGTCAAACAGGGTAGTAAATTTTTATAAAAATTGTAGAATTGTGTTGTTATAAAATTTTAAATCTCACGAAATATGTGATTAAAATTAATTATTAATTTACAGAAAAATATATTTTCTTTCTTACTTATAAATAAATAAAAATTAATTGAATGATAATTCTAATTTTACAATCAAAATAATAAACTGAAAAACTAATATACTTTTTCAATGGAGCAAATATGTGTGTAAACGTTTATTTGAGGTTGGAAATATCCTGCCTTATGTTTGATTAGGAAAAAAGAAATTAACACGTTAAAAAAATAATAATAAAAATAAAAATAGGTTTCTTAAGTTAGAATATAGTTGTCTTGCAATTTTAAAAAAAAAAAAAAAATCTAAATGGCTATCCTGAAGATCTCTTTGTTTAAAGCAACTATGGCCGGCTCGTGTATTTGCAATATGTGAGAAAAAAATGAAGAATGTAAAAAATATGTTTAATAGTTAAAGAAAGAAAAAATAGAAAATATACAACTAAGGAAAATCAGTGAAGTGAGAAATTAGCAAATCGAGGCTTGTGTATTATTAATTTATTACACAGTTTTCTTAAAACGAATTCGCCTTTTACGATAAGAAATCTTGCTGAAAAATAATTTAGCATTGAAGATATATAAGAAGACATACCAAAAAAAAATAATGGTATCTTCTTAATCATAATTCAAATAATTGCTGAGTTTGATCATGTAATGCAAGATTACAATCATCGATTTCAAAATAAAGAGATTCATTATTTTAGTCGAACCAAGGTGGGGCATGGTGGGTCACATGCCCCCACCAATTTTTTGATTTTTTATTTTATTTTTATAAAGAGGTTTTATTTTTTCTCAACTCAATTTATTTTTTCAATTTTAGATGTTTGCTTCTTGGTGTTTACTTTCTAAATGAAACTACAAATTATCTAATAAGTTTCTAATGAAAGAAGCGTATATCGCTTTAATATCTTAGATTCTTAATACATCCATCATTTAATTTTCATTTTCCATTTTCCTTTCGATTGTTATGAAAAGTCTAATGATCAATTTCAATTTTTAACGAATTAAATGAGATGGCTTTATATATCAATCTTTCCGACTTGCTCTTACAGAATTAAGGTCGAAAAGATTTTAAAAAAAAAAAATCAGTAATTCACAATCGCTAATAAAAAATTCTTCGAAAAGTTAAGTATTAATTAGTAATTTTTTTTTAACAATTCTTCTGATTTTTAAGAAATTTTTTATACGATAAATAGTACCTTAAATTTAAAGATTATACGTGGAGAAATGGTATCATAATGAGAGTTTCTCTAGTTAATTATCTCTTTTAACTTTTCAGGATGCAGTGTGTTGTTGGTACCGAATCATCTCATTTCAAAGTTTAAACTATTAGATTTTACACTTATTTAAATTATATTTTCAATGAACTCCTAAAGTTCAAGTCTAATTTTCGTCATAATCTCACTCATGCTAATTTTTATTATGGGTGGCACCAAAATTTGATCTCAAGATCTCTTTTTATTTTAATAGTATATTGAACTATCTTATTTAAATACTTATTTATTAAAAATAATTAAACTTACTTATTTATACTATATCTTTAAGAAATTTGAAATTCGTTCAACTGGATCGACAATTTAATATCAAAACCGCTAGTTGACTAGATTTTTAACTAGATCACTTACATTGAGATCAAATGGTCTGCTCGAGTCGTCAGGTTTCTAACCCCAATCGGCCGATCGATCTTAATCGATTTTAATAACACTGGTGTATATAGCACATGGTTTTTTAATAAAATTTTGGATGAACCATCCAAAAGGACCCATGTGCACCACTAGGTAAGTTTGTGGATGTAATAGTCAAAAATTTAAGAGTGGTGATTCAAGTGATATTGGCACGAATATTTTGGGGACCCCAAGTGCAAATTTTCCTATTTAGTAAGATGACACTAATTTGGAAACGCTGTTCATTTTAATTGTTAGGATTTGGATGTAATTCAACCAAAAGGATCCGTGTGCATCCATTTGGAACATTTTAATGGACGTGATCATCAAAAAAGTAAGAATAGGGACCCAATAGATATAGGCATGAATGTTCGAGGACCCCATATGAAAATTTTGAAAACATTTGTCAATTTAAATTTTATGTGTTTATGTATTTAAACTCGTCCTTACAATTATATAATTGATTAATGGTAAGAAATTATTAAGTAAATATAGTATTTTATAATTTTATATATTTGGTCCGTATTATTTTAATTATTAAATGATTTTTAGAATGATTAAAAATTTAAAATAATATTAAAAATATGAAAACTTTTTTTTACACTTTTTAGAACACTGATTAAATCACAAAAACATTCAATAAGATCATGTAAAGTATGGACAATTATTCTAACATTATAGGATTTTACAATAATTGTTACCACGTGCTATCTTTCCCATTTTTCTGTCAAATCACAATAGAAATAACACGTCAATTCAATTAGTGGCCAAGTAATTAAAAATCATTAAAATCAGAACAAGCATTCTCATCAAACAAACATTAGGTGTCAAAATATGGAATTTAATATCAAAATATAGTGTTTAACGTTATTTTAACATCTATACGAATTGATCGATACAACATCCGGAATTGAAGTTTGGGAAGATGATGGAGACCAATCTTAAATCTCTTCTATGGTTCTTGATCAATCTCCTTGAATATTTTCTTCTTCTTCAACCCAAGCAATACATGTATGAAATTGATATGGATAGATTCTTTGTGTGAAGAAACTTTTTCAATGCTTGCAAGAAATATGTATTTTCTATGTACAAGCTACCCCTTTGAAGGATGGATGAAACTATGTATTTATAAACTCGAAACTAGGTCAAATTTCATGCATTAATTGCTCTCCAAGAAGTGGTTGAATCATCTATTACACAGTCGACCTGACTCCAAATATGAATATCGTGGATCTTGATCCGCAAACTACTACACTTAACAGATTATTTGGAGGGGTAGAATGTACAACACTGGACAAAAGAAAAAATAGCTAAAGTATTGTATATTATGTTGTCCAATGTCATTCAATACTATGAATTAAACATGTCATTGATTCTGTCATATAAAAACCAATTTGTTAGTTGACGCTACAAGCAGAAAACCAGAAAGTCCAAAACCCCCAAAAACAAAGCATCGTTAAATAAGAATTCGGCATTTTCCCAGAGCGTTAGATAAAAGTATAAATACCAAAATGGATTAGAAGAGGTCAAAATGCTAGCATGAAATGATTGTACACAATCATCCATGGACTCGAACTGGAAATTTTCAGTTAGGTATGTATATAATCACAATATGCCCCTTTCCTGCATCGCCCATTTCCATTGTATGGACATACTTTCTGCCTCCTGTTAAAAGGTCTAGGCCCCCCTCTGCCGAAAGACGACTGTCCGTTCCAAGGCCTTCCGCCACTAAAACCACCAGAGAATGGACCACCATTGGGGTTTTGTTGGCCACCCCACATACCCTGGGCCCCGGCTGGCACACCCCAACCTGGATTTGAATTTTGTTGTGGTGGCCCTTGAAGAGGAGCTCCGACTCCAGGTGGTGGTGGCCCCTGAACAGGAGCTCCAGTTCCTGGTGGTGGCGCCTGAACAGGAGCTCCGACTCCAAGTGGTGGTGGCCCCTGAACAGGAGCTCCCATTCCCACTGGTGCTCTTATTCCTGCTGGTGGACCCCATCCAGGTACGGGCCCTTGAAGTTGAGGTGCTGTTCCTGTATTGCCATTTGGAGCACCCCAACTTGGAGTTGCAACCCAACCAGGATGTACATTTCCAAACGGAGGCCCCTGAACAGTAGCTCCAGAATTTCCAGCAGGAACCGCCCAATCAGAAGTTGCATTTCCAGTGGGCTGCATTTGAACAGGTACCCAATTCGTGTTCATACTTCCTGGTGTTTGAGTCCCCCAGTCTGTATTAGGATTTGCTTGCATTGTACCCCAGACAGGGTTTGGATTTTCAGCCCAAGGGGCATTTGCCATCCCAGGGGACTGCAAGTTGGATTGAATGCCAGAAATTGGAGGTCGCCAAAAATCAGGTTGAGGAATAACTGCGGAACCTGAATTTGAGGAATTTCCAGCAGAATTCTTAACAGTGGACATAATGCCACCCCAACCATGAGCTTGGTGTTGTACAGACTGTGGAATAAAGGCATTAGGCTCCACCTTCTGACTAGGAGCACTATCCAAACCATGAGATTCAAGTTGATGGTCTCGATTAATAACAGATTGAACTGCCTGGACGGTCATATTTTGTGTGGTAGGCATATGCCCATGCATCTGTACTACATGTGGTTCACTAGTCATAGTTGACTTGGGTGTTTGACTAAAATCGCCAGATATTAGGCCACCCTGTTCAGGTTTAGGTGCTGGGCTAGAAGCAGCCGAAGAGCTAAGTACTGAAGAAGAAGCAGAAGAATCAGTCCTGAGCTGTGACAATGCTGCAGCAGGTGACGTGAGCACTGCATTGAGAGTGGGATGTTGAGTTCCAACTGGGAGAGAGACCCCTTCTCCAGTCCGACCTCCATTACTTTGTTTCAGGGTAGGAGATGGAAGGTTTGATGTATCATTTCCAAAACTTCTATCAGTAGAGAGATTAGGGTTCTGCACAGGCTTTTGTTCAGCAATCAATCTCTTCATATCCTGGTGTAAGGAAGTTTCAAGAGTCTTAGTAGAATGATCAGATGAAATATGAGGACTATGCAGTTTATTGCCAACTTCTGGTAAGTCTTTCTGACACTTCCCTGCCAAAGCATCAGTCAGAAGTATAGAGTCGTCTTGCTTTTCTGCAGTTCTCCAAATTCTTAGCTCTGTGGGGAAATACCCTGTATTGCTCCATTTACGCAACTGCACTATGGAAAATGGTCCTTGTACTTTTCCAGAAGGATCTCGATAAAGCCACGTCTTTTCGGTTTCATTGATCTTGACAGCAGAAGTTTCTACTATCCCAGCAGAGAGAGATGTTGAGATATTGCTTGATGAAACAGCAGAAACTGGGACATTTCGTTCAACAGATTCAGAATTTGTTGAACCAGAATTAGCTTTTGAACTCGGCTTCTCCAAATAGTTAGATTGTTGGTCGCGTGCGTCTTTTTCTGTTCCTTGATTCCATGAATTTTCGTTCACTGTCTCGACAATTTGTATAGCATCAGTTGAAATATTTTTACCAGACAGATTTCTGCCTAATTCCCAGGTCTTTGTAGAATTACTCCCACCACCACTCCAAGAATCTACTGCAGAAAAATCACTTCCAGGAGAGATTGGTCCCCTTTCTCTCCTACTAAAATCGGAACCTCTGGAGCCGATGTAAGCATCTGGAGCCCATGCAATGTTTATAATTAGAACTCCATAATCATTATTTTGCAATATAGAAAATTAGAAAAGAAGGTAGCAAAAAAAAAATGTCACCTCTTGGACTTTCATCAGTTTCACTGCCATCATCATCAGACTCGTAGCTTGGATCCATTTTTGGATCTGCATGTATTTTAGGAATTTCCTCTAGTCTACGTCGACGCTCATCAGGGGTCTTCAAAAGCTGTAATTTCTCCACACATTCTCTAAGCGTGAAAATCCGTCAAGGATAACTTAAATTTCTACAGATAAGAACAAAGTCAGAATGAACATAGAAGGTCAAGCCACATCAAATGATGATTGCGACCAAACCTATACATGATTATTCACAATAGTCCATTCTACAACATCAACTGTTAGCCAAAGAGTGATCTACTTAGCTTCAATCTTCATATGCATGTGCTAATGTTCTTTAAATTTTGAAATCCTAAACAAGAAGTTGAAAAAACAACTCTGATTTTACCACAGATGAGAGAATTTTAGCACTCCTATTGTGGTAAAACAAGACAAAATTGCAAAACTACCAATTTACATCATTTCCACTTGAAAACGATTTCCATGCTTCATGTATAGAAGTGGCATTCAGCATCAGACATTCAAACAACATCAGGCGATGCCCAAGGTAACAAGCTTTGCAACCAATATGAAATTGTTTTAAAAATAAAAAATAAAGCCCTGAATAAATTGCAAGTCACATAGATGACATCATTTTGCATAGAAGTAATTAAACTGTAATGGAAAACTATGAAGCACACTTTTAGCAACATTTCTTTAGATGGAATCTCAGATTAAGCCGTTCACTTCATTCTTGGAATTCACTTATAGGCCTTACGGTTGTAAAGATTGATGTCAGAGGAATATTTGTATAGCCTATGTTTGGCCCCCATATTTTCAAAAACTCAATTTTTCAAAACTCACCACACGTTCTTCCATAAAATAATTTTACACGTAATTCGAAAACTACTCGTTTTGTAGCCGCACATTCTTCAAGAAATCATTATTTCAAAATACATTTTCAAACAAAAATGGGGTTCAAACAGGAGCATATATACGAAATTTCTGTTCTGGGTTGCATATGAATCATGAAAGAACCTTGGTCACAAAATCAAATAGCACCATGTTGACATATCATATATACAAACAAAGGAGAGTAATTATCCATTGAACTGCTAGCAACAGATCCAAACTTCTGAAAGACCAAGCAAACGCATAATCTATTGTTCCAGAGAAATATAAAACTATAAACTAAAGTTAATAAAATTAAGAGAGAAAGGATATTCCTTCCTACGCCCTAAATCACTTGCTCTATCACGAAGATGACCAAGCCGCAAAATCTCGGATTCCAGCCACTGCACAGCACCATAATGAAATAAGAAAACAGGAAATAAAAGAAGGCATGTACATAAATAAATACTATTGTCACAGCTATGTACTAAAATTATCAATTGAAAAGAAAATGTGCATCACATATCAAGAAAGGAGCACCAACCTCAAAAAAATGAGTGCATACACTCTCAAATTTCAGTTAGCATCCAAAATCCAAGAAATCATTCAGAAACTTCAATAGCAAAGAAAATCAGTATGTGAAAATCATCCTATAGTATATAAATGTGGAACTATTTCTTTCCTTTCTCTTCCCTTCCCCAACATTTTTGTTCATACTTCCCATTTTTCGTTTAATTATTCTCTTGTGGGATGTTACGTGATAGGTCATTGCAGAATGCATGCAAAGGAAATATACAAACATCACACTCTAAAAATAAGAAAACGGAAAAAAGGAGTTGGAGACACTGTTATCAAAAGTGGTGAAGGCAGGTCCCTTGAGGCACCTTGTGCAAGGCATTCTTTAGAAGCCCCAAAGCGTACACTTTGAGTGCCATTGTCGAGGATTTCGCTTTATCTTGTGCATACACCTCAGGCATAGCCTTAAGGTGGTTGAGGCATAAAAAAGAAACTTCACTCCTCTTTTCTTTACATTTTTCTTGTCATCTTTCTGTATATTTCATTTGAGTTTCTAGGTCTTTTAAACCCAAAACAAACAAATTTCTTGAATAATTGGACACTTGAATCAATTGTTTCAGACTATATTACAGTTTCCAACCATGTTACTGTTAAAAAGACGCTTAACCACAGTAACCTGGGGCCTTGACTGGCCGAGATGGTCAGGCTGAGTTAATAACTGTGGTTTGTGATCAGTATGACAGCATATAGAATTTGCATTATTTAAAAATGTCGTTTGAGGCTAACACATTACTCTAGCCTCACACGAGGCTTTCATTGAGTGCCTTAAAACTTAAGCCTTTGGTGCCATTTGTCAAAGCTTACACCTCAATTTATTGAGGCTTGAGCCTAAATGGTGAAGCTTACACCTCAAGACTAACCCTTGCCTTTTCTAGACATTTTATTACTAGCCTCACTTTTTTGGGCTATTTTTGAGAACGTTTTACATTTTGGATTAGAGTAATCAAATATATTGATGATAACTATATCTACAGTGATATTATGGAAGACTTTACGTTGTTTCTACTAGTACATAACAATTTTCTAATGTGGTGGTTAATAATTTGAAAACTTACTATTTGCTACTTTATTAATCTATCTCATATTTCTTTGCAGGTTAAACTTTTAAATTTGTATCTATTCTGTTTACATTTTCAAGATGGTTTGCAGTTCATCATGAGAATAGTTTTGTACTTTTTACATTCTTTTGAATTATTTTATTGGTTTGTCTTGAGGCTTATGCCTAAAAAACCTCAAGGCCCACACCACCTCAAAGAGGTAAAGTGCCATGACACCCGATTTAGCCTTCTATAAATTTTGAGTTTGTCATGCACTTTTTTTCCCAACATGCAGTGTACTTTCAAAGATCAGAGCTTTTACCCAAACAGGTACCACTTTATTTCCTAAGATAAGCTCTCAAGGAGCTTATAAGCATCAAAAGTGCTAATGTGCTTATTTCTGCTAATGTTCTCTTTGTATTGAGGAAATAGAATTAAAAGTCTCACTTTAATCCATTGCGGCTTCAAGCAAACAGTTCCCAAAGAACATATTTAAATCCTCTTTTAAACTTGTCTCAATAATTCAGTTCTAAAGGTTAATGGCATACACACATATGCATTGGCAGCAAACCAATTAAGGGTCACCACTTAGAGTGGTACACGATCATTAACGATTCATGAAAAATTTTGCTTCTAAGTCAGAAAATAGCATTGACAACATTTAGTCAGTAAACAAAAACACATTTAATTATCGTCCACCAGTCAGTGGTTAACCAAATATCGTTCAACCAAAAATTAGGGGAAATAACATACATCATTCACTCTGGCTGCCTGTATTTCCATGGCCTTTTCAAGAATGTCACCCTACAATAACAAGCATCATTAATTATGGTGACAATAACAAGCAGTAAGTGAAAGATGGAGGTAAGCGTATAAATACCACAGTCAGCCTGCTGATAAGACCACATTTGATACTCTGGCGAAGCCGCTTGCATTCTTCCTGAAAAATCAAAAGTGAAGGTATACAATTAAGTTTTTGTAACTATTTTATTTTCAGACATCACTGATATTGTAATAAACACTAAGGATAGACAATTTAGTTTTGCAGCCAATTTCAGATTGAGGTGTCACTGCCATCATAAAAGAACTCTGAAATAGAAAATGTATAAACCAGGCATCAATATTGGAAACTTAGCCTTCGTTTGGGCCACATTTTTTTAGTTCAAGTAGAAAAAATTCGAACGTTATAACATGAAATGACAGACAACTTGCAGGCCAGTCAATGTCCAACAGTAGCTGCTCTAACTTGGTATGCTGTTTTTGCCCTCACGTGTACAATAAAATTGCAGTAGCCAATGTTGTGTACCAATTTCCATTGAGGGGCCAAATCGGAAAAAATGGCATCTAAGTCAAATGAAGTGCAGGGCATTCATTGGTGCTACTGTGCATGATTTGAAAGAAATAATGCATTTTGTTGGAATTAATATGCACCAAACGAGGGCTTAGCATTACTCTTTATGGTGGATACCATTATTTCCTATAAAAGGCTGATACACTTCTCCAACTGACCACTGGAAATCAAATGTGTCCAATCTTACCACCATTTGAATAGCATTTAAGTGAAATGCATATCAACCTCAAGTCTATCAGGAGATTCAATTATTTACATACTCTGACAAGGCTCCTGAAGCAAAATAAGCAGACCGCTGGACTATGTCTTACAAGGGAATGTCAATCACCTCAGTGAAATCTTGATTTGAGACAATATCAATTGATATGATCTCTGTCTTGTTTAGATTTAATATCTCCAGCATAATGTCGGATGTCCTTCTACCAATTTTGTATGGTTCAGTAGCTTTACTTGTACCTGCATAGAAAATAATTAGAAAGCGATTTCCAATGAAACATCAGACGAAATGGGGCCAAGGGTCAACATTGCCAACCTTAAGTTCCCCGAAGAGATTAAAAAATACAATCCTAACTAACTTAAAGAGTTATTGTAAAAGGAAAGTTACAATTGATTACCTACAACTTGCACTAGTCTATACATATCTTGCTTCTGAAAACAGCCAGAAATTCTTATCCTCACAAACATTCCAACAACTTTATCATGAAACGTCTCAACATCTTCAAGTAGATCCTCCATCAACTTCCTCCGTAGGTAAACTAAGCTAATGTTGTGCATATCGATTGATGCATATTCAGCAACATTAGATTGAGGAGCACGGTTGTAACCTTTTTTATGCGTTTTACGTTTCTTATCTTTGACCCCCTTGGTCAGGGTGTCAACATTCCCATCAACGTCCAACTGGTCACTTTCAGTGTCAACAACACTCCCTTGAATATCATCCATCGGAGAATCCTCTTTTATAAGAAAATGAGATTCAAGAAGTTTTAACATCTCGAAATGTCCAACACGTGATTTTCCAAACAGATTTTCAAATCTGGTATCACATCTAATTTGACTTTTCCGGTGAGGGTCACGAAGTTTGTTTCTTTTGATATATTCAAGCAAGAGAGCTTGAACAGCAAACTGAGATAGGACAGAAGTGTCACCATTTTTCATGTGTGAAACAAATTCAAGAAGCTCTTCAGATGCCCACTTGGTGTTGTCTGATACAGAATTGCATTCATTTCCAGCTGTTGCACCTGAACATACTGATTCCCCTTTTTCGGATGGGGATTTTGATTGTTTCTTTAGCTTTCTTCTCTTAGATTTACGGATTTCGAATTTTTCAGTAGCATCAGAGCCAGATCCTCCTCCATCATTAGCACCTACATGTGCCTCAGATGACACTTGTTTGATGGTGCCAGCTGTTCCCTTCCATGGATTCTTAGCATCGGCAACTTCAACTGAAGATAGGTTAAGCTTAGACTTCAGTTCTATATAGTAATCCTTGAAGAGATACTCCCAGCTACTTCTGTCATCAAAATCTATTTGAGCCTGCATCGGTTGAGGACGAGAGCAGACAATCAGAATCCTACATACAATAAAAATTCTTTTTCTTTCTCTTCAGAGGTGGGATTGGGGGTGGGGAATTGGGGGTTGTGGATTGCTGGATGCAGTTTATATATACCAACAATAAATTGAAAAGTGTAATATTTTCACGAAATAATTTCTTGGAGTGTACGGAAAAAATAAAAATAGAAAACGAAGTGAGAAGCTTAACAATACCAAGAGAAATTAATATATAATCATAATCAAGACAAGACCTCGCTGTGTGAAATTGGAAATAAATATTTGGTGGCAAATGGAAGAGGCTATTGGATATTTGGATGTCATGTTACAGCAAAATGCCTACTTTCTCCCGACTAAATGTTTCATTAGGATGTTCTTAAATACAAACATTATAGAACTAAATGTCACAGGTTCTTATATCTGGGTTCATACAACTATAAATGTGAAATTTCAAAATTACACGAGTTAGACCGAACGGATGAAGACATGTCCTCAGAGGAGAATTCTAGAAAACTCAGAAGGAAACAATTTCACTAATCCTCGTTCCTTAGAGAACCAAAAATTTTATGCCTCTACATCACATAAGGATGTGTAACCTACAATCAAGTGATCAAACAAAACTGCATACACAGTTTCAGAAAGTTGAGTAGAAGACATGATAGGGTTCACTGACACAAAACAATAAGTCCACAAGATTACATGCAAATAAGATGTCCAGGAGTAGACTCAAGCATAGGTATAGGTACCTTTGGACCCAATTTTTCATGGATCAAATGAATACCTGCTAAAAGATGCTTAGGCTAACTTAAGCAGTTTTTGACATTAAGAGTGTGAATAACTAGTATGAAATATCCCTTAACCAGTTTAGTCATATATATAGGAACCATAATCTCAACGCTAATTGAACCGTGGGTTACAGTACAAATTATAAACGACACTGAAAGCACTTCACTAACAGACATGGAAAAGCTGCCTCAAAATCCTATAATGCGAAATTACAGTCAATAAATTAATATGAAAATACAGTCAATAAATTAATGTGAAAATACAGTCAATAAATGACAACCAATATATTGAACCACAGACATATAAATGTCAGAAACAAATCCAAAGGGTAGAGAGTTCACTTTCTAACCCCAGCAAGCAAACTTTGATGGAAACTAACAGTAGGTAGGTTTGTAAGTCGGAAGGGTAAGAGGGGTTGGGTGGGGGGGGGGGGGATTGAGAAATAACTGATGGACTGAATGATAGCAGACAAAGGCAAAGATAATTTTTCCCAAACTCATAGATATGACATATTCCTATCAAAAGCAGTGGCCCCTAGGCAGGACCTCTTAGCTCTCTCATGTGAACAAATTTTACATTAATCGGAAGTATTTGCGTTAACAAACTAGATGTGGCTTGAGCGCCTAGGTTTCGTAGGTTCTATGTTTACAAATTTACAACATTACAATCTGCAGCAAGGTACTGAAGGTGTAAGGCAAAATTTCTTTTCTTGTTCTTGTTCTTGTTCATGTTTGTGTCGACTTGCTAAAATATGTTCTATCTCTGCACAATATCTATTTAAAGGCGAGAGCTGAAGGCACTAAAACTAAAAAGAAGATGAAAACTTGAAGACATCCTGACTTGGGGATTGATTGTGATGTAGAACGTAATAGATATATAAATTGAGGAAATGAAGAAGAAAGAGGGAGGAGGAAATCTGTAATTAATTCAATAATAATCAAGTTGTAACGGAAATGAAACCCCCATCCCTTTAGATAGAAAAGGCTCAAAAAATCTAAGGGACTTTCTAAAAGATAACAATGAATAAATAACAAACTCGCAATTGATAAACAAAACTCCTAAATGATAAAACTATTGAAATCTAGATTAACTCAAGTTCTATCCTTTAGCCTTTCACCTGGAGTAGACTTTTAGTTATTTCTCATCATTTCTCATGGGGCGGAAAGAACTTGACACCAGCAAATTGAGCCTCGAGTAGGAGTCTAGCAAGTTTGAATCGAGATCTCAGAACTCTTCTTCTTTGATCCATGTATCCTCTGTAGACAGTCGATCTTGCCACCTAACCAAAAATCTATGATGGCCAACATCCTTAGAAGCAACAATGTGATCATCAATAACCTCAAAAATGACACCTTCTGATGTCGGAGTTGGTGTACGAGCTCATGGCACGGGAAGATATGTTTTACTTGCAGGAATAGATGAAGGCAATACTGAAGGCTCAAAAGTGCCTCGATAGGAATATGGATCTGTTATATTGAAAACATGATTAATATTTAAATGTGGTTGCAAATCTAGGCGATATGCATCAATTCCGAGTTTTTGTACAGTACAAGGGGCCCATGGAGTGAGCATCAGTTTCTTAACGACATGTTTAGGATAATGCTATGAAAGAATATTAACATTCACATAATCACCAACTTTAAATTCTCCACGCCTACGATGTGAATTACCAACAAGTTTGTAACTTGCCTTAGAAATGTTCTTATTATTTCATTGTGTATCTCACAAATATGATCTGCAAAGGCTTGTACTCATCATGCAGCAGGAATAAAATCAGTAGGCAAAGGCATGAGGGCAATTGGTTGGCAAGGAAAGAGAGCATTGACAATCTCAAAAGGGCTCTTACGTGTTCACGTATTGACAAAATTGTTACATGCAAACTCAGCTAAAGGTAAGACAAAATCCATCTGACTGTTTGTTTAAGGATGAAAAGTAAATGAATATTTGAGTGCGGTACCAAACTTGACATCCTTATCAGAAATAATGATGGAAGGAAACCAATGTAGGCAGACAATTTTCGAAAAAATAATTTAGTGACATACGATGCATCAATAAATTTTGAACAAAGGATAAAGTGTGCCTTTAGCCCTTTACTACTATAATCAAATCATAACTCTTGACAGTTTTTGGTAAATGTAAAACAATGTCCTGCAATAGGCAACTAAGTGTAGGGTGTATAAACAAGTGTTTTATTTCCATAGCTGACATGTGCGACATTGTAAGATTGTATGCGACATCCTTTTTGAGGGAGGGCCAATAAAACCTATCCTCCAATAGGGCAACAATTTTATTGCTACCAAAATGTCAAGCCACAACACCTCCGTATATATACCAAAATAGAAATTCTCCAACACAGGTGCGAATACATAGTTTGATACCTCTAAAAAGGCATCCATCTTGAATAAGAAAATCGATATGAACGCGAGTAGCATCTAAGAAGTCATTATGGATCTTGCTAAAATTGGGACAGACAAGCAACTTCAAAAACCTTGGAGTGAAAGGTGTTGCAACCCTGGCACCTCGGTCATTTTTTTTCTTCACTTCTAAGAAAAATTTACAAGTTGAAAGAGTCCAATGAAACTCCATTCACCCTTTTTCATGGACTCGGTGATTGAGGTTATAATGGTGCAAAAACCCTTAATGAAACTCCTATAAAAGGAAGCTAGACCATGAAAGCTACTAGCTTCAAATAAAGTTTTTAAGTTCAGGTCAGTCACAAATAGCCAAAACTTTTGAAAGATCCGCACAAATACCCTCGACAAACATGATGAATCCTAAGAAAAGGACTTGAAATTGCAAGAAATGGCATCTTTTAAGATTCACGTAAAGTTTCTCCTCTCAAAGGGAATGAAATACTTGTCTAAAATATCCAGATGTGCTGTGCTTCTTTAGATAGATTATATTTGAGGATATCATCAAATAGACAACAAGAACTTCCCCCGTATAAGGTCACAAGGCATGGGTCATGACTCGCATAAAAGTAGTCAAAGTATTAGACATCCATAAAGGCATTACTTTTTTTTTTTTTTGATAACATCCCAAAAGGCATTACTAATACTAATACAAATCATCCTGAGCCTTAAATACAGTTTTCCACTCATCACCCCGGTAGATTCGAATTTGATGACACCTATTGTGCTAGTCTATCTTAGAAGACCAAATAGAATAGGCAAGCTCATCTAACATATCCTCAAGTTGAGGATTGGGAAAACTATACTTGACTATGATTTTGTTGACAGCTTGACTATCTAAATTCATTCTCCAAGATCCATCTTTCTTAAGATTGGGTAAAACATGAACTGCACAGGGGCTAGGACTATTACGAACGAATCCTTTGGCTAAGAGGTCATGCTTTGCCTATTCAACTCAGAGAGATCATTTTATAATGTGGAAAATTAGGCAACTACAAACCTCGAACCAAGTCAATGGCACGTGGAATATCTCTTGTGGATTCTACAATCAATGGTACGTTGAATTTCTCATGGATTTTACAAGAGAAACACCACCAAATTCCTTTAAGATGGTCAGACGAAAAATTGTAGCTCAAAAGGGATGGCAAACTAATCATCGCAACAAGAACATTTCTCATTGGTCTTATGGAGTAGACTTGTTTCCTATCAAATTGTCCTCTTGCCGTGGATCTTGTTTCAGTCCACCACAAATCCATTAATACACAATCAAATGTGAACCATTGGAGGAAATGAATTTACCTAAGATAGAACTGAACAATCAAATAGATTAATGATCCGCATCATCCATTATGTAGCTCATTGAAAGCAATTCGAAAGGGAAAATATCCTAAAGAACTAACTAAAAAAGGTAATCTATGATAGCCATGAAATAATATAAAACATTAAATCGAGAGAACAAATATCATTGCTAACACTACCAAAATTAAGTATGATACATCACAAAACCTCAAACCACCACCAAAGAGAGAGAGAGGGATGATAGAAGTACACACATCCTTGTTTTCCTTCTCATTGTTCTCGATTAACAAGACAATTCTCATGCAGGTCTCACAAAACCCTTTGTTTCCACGAACGCATAAGATAACAGCATCTTTGATACAACCTTTGCACAAGGAAAATGCACATGTATAACACTTATAGTGGGCATTTTTCTCACAAATGCTGCACAAATGCCAACCTGAAGTACAAGAAAAGATAGGATGATGCGTATCAGTCAAGAGCAAACTATACATGCTTATATGTTTCTAATTAGAGCAAAAGCAACAATCAAAACTTCAAAATGCAATGGATATAACATGTTTAAACAATTTCCTCTGCTCAAAAGATCCTGAATCACACATGTAACAGTCAAAAACCTATTTGCTAGTATTGAGTACGAAATCTATCTAATACAATAACTAATCAAAAACATGTCTAGACAAAGCAAACAGTGAAGAAAGTCAATATTAGCGCATTATATAGTTTGCATGTCTGACTGATGAACTGTGGGAATGCTAACTCATAGATCAAATTGAGAAGAGACAACATAAATAACACTGCTACATAGCCGATGGGAATTCAAATTACCTATCATGTGAACTGGATATCAAAAGAAGCTAATATGAGGACTAAGAAATTTGACTCATTTACATCCACATGATAATGTTTGAAATCATTATATGCATGGAAACTTCATTTACAAAACTCGGAGGAAACTAGCAGGAGTTTTTACATAATACTATTCCAATTAAATAAACTTATCAAATATAACATTCACCATTTATCTCCTATTATGCACGTGAACACTTGCGGAAATAAAGAGGTACACTTACCACAATTCCAAATCCCCTTGGCTTTGAAAAATGCCTCATCTCTATTAACACAAGATGGATGATATGCTTTTGGGCAACCTCTGTGAATTCATAGGGAAAAATTGTTGATAAGCCCGATAAAACACAAAACCAACAATTTTTTTTTTTTTGAGAAACACGTGCACACAGTTTTCTGGTTACATTCTTAAGATTATATGTCACTATACAAGAAACTCACCTGCGGTCACACATGACGAGGTCCCCACCATCGAAACAAATGAAACAAACATCGTCTCCCACGAGCTTCCTCCCTGAAGCTTTTGCTGCAGTCTTAAAACTTGATAGAGTCTTTGATTTCTTTCCTTTCTTCTGCTTCCCTCCAGAAACTTTCCCAGAGTCAGCCACATTAATTTCAGTCTCCATTTCAGTGTCTAGAGTCACAGTCTCCTCCACAGCAATCATTGCCTCATCTTCTTCGAATTTTACAGCAGCCAGTGAATCACCCAACTCCTCACCAAACTCACCAACATCATCATTTGTTTTCTCAATCTCCATCTCTGTCTCTGCATCTGCTTCCATTTTTGTATCTGCTGGTGGAGTCTTATCTTCTGCCACTGCTTCCTTTGCAGTTTCTGCAACGTTCAAAGGCTCAGCTGATTCTGAATCCTTTGAAACATCCACATTCATATCCTTCTCCTGCACCACTTGGGTTTCTGCCAGCAAGCTATCCTCAGCAACCACCCCTTTATCTTCAGCATACTCATCTTTTACAGCCTCTAATGACTCGGTTCCAACAACTCTCATACCACCATCTAATCCATGAACCTGCTCTCCTGCACTGGCACTAGCCACATCAGAATTTGCCTCATTCGTAGTCTCGAACTCCACTTTGGCTTTCGAGATTGAAATATCCTCTATAGTTACTTCATCAGAAACCCGAATTTCTGGATCATTTAATTCATCATCAACCTTCTCCTTAAAGTCTATAGCACCCTCTATCAATACCTTTGTGTTGCTTTCCACCATTTGAAATTCCATTCGCCCTTCCTCTGCTAATTCCTCGTTTTCAACATTCACTTGCTCACCTATCTCTACCTCAATCTCTGTCTCAGTTTTAGCATCTGATGCCTCCAATTTCTCTCCCACAACCACCATCTCCACTTTTGTCTCAGCCACTGGCACCAATTCTTCCCCGCCCTTTTTACCTTGTTCTACATCCCCGACATCAGAAACAGCCATTTCACCACCACATGATGCCTTCGATTCCTCTCTCACAACCAGCACCTCCACTTGTGTGTCAGCCACTGGCACCAATGCTTCCCCTCCTTCTTTACCTAGTTCTAAATCCCCAACATCAACAGCCATCTCACCACCACGCGATGCCTCCGTTTCCTCTCTCACAACCACCATCTCCACTTTTGTGTCAACCATTGGCACCAATTCTTCCATACCTTTTTTACATTCTAAATCCCCAACATCAGAAACAGCCCTTTCACCACCATGTGATGCCTCCAATTCCTCTCTCACAACCACCTCCACTTTACCTTTTTTACCGAGTTCTAAATCCCAAATATCAGAAACAGCCGTTTCACCACCACCTTCCACTGCTTCCACTTCACCTTCCACCATCCGAATTCCCTCCAACACCTCCTGGCCTGCCTGTCCGCAATCAATTACATTAAAAACAGTTTCCTCGTCACCTTTTACATTCAACTCCATCACCACCTCCAATCCCGTCTCCACCGCTTCATATCCGTCCACACCACCACATTCTTCTCCACCTTCCTCTTCCGCCGGCTTCTCCTCTGTCACAACCACTTCATCTTTCACACCCCAACCACTTAAATTCGAACCGTCCAATTCAGCAAAAACCCCACATTGCTCCTCGCTTTTAATCACTTCTTTCCCCAATTCTATCTCTTCCTTTACCGATTTTTCCTCCAAAAACGGCCTATTCACATTTGATAAACTCACTTCATCATTATCCATGGGAACCCAATTTTTTTTCAAACCCTAGCCCTGGAATTTGAGTAGGCAGCCCACTATAGGTACATAGTGCTATACGTATGTGCATACGTGCTGCAAGAACGCTCAATGTTGATGAATTCTTTTGTCGCTTGCGTTTTGGGGGGTTATTTTCTTGAGGAGCCAGCCAACAGACGAAATTTATTCCTGCTTGAACCTCGTAAAGAGACTTTCTTTTCATTTTGTGGACCATGGGGCGGAGAGTTTTAAAAAGGGAAAAATACGTGCCATCATTTTTAAGGTTACTAGTTTTTGCCCGTCCGATGTATGGGCTCGATGATATTGTAGGTATTGTTAGCATTTTAAAAGGGTTGAGAGATAAACCTATAGTCAATTAGCCATCAAGAATCAACTTATAAAAAGATTTATATTAAAGAATCATTACATTAGTACAATGAGTATAATTTGTATAATCTGAAGTGTAAATGTACATTCTCGGCTACGGCTCAAACAAGATGGACATATTGTTGTTTGAAACATGAGATTGAAAGGGTAAGGGTAAGTGAGAGAGCTCTTGGTATCTGGAGCTTAAATGCGATATTACTTGATCTTTGCGTCAAGCTGTTTAGCAGAGAGGTCAACCAACATGGCAAACATGTGCTTCAATTCTGTACTTAGATTAGGATCTTTATCAAGTTTGTCTTTGCAATAATCCTTTGACAGATGATTGTACGAACTGTATACAATAAAATAAATCAAAATCTCAATTAAAGAAAAAGTTAAATTTGTTTAATTAGTAAAGTATAAAAATGATTGAATATGCACAATGAAGATGCAAATTTTGTAGCTATAAACACTACGGATTAAATATTAAGTCATTTCAATTAAGCAAAAGAAGTTGGAATATTACGTCAAAATGAGTATCCAATCCAGGTAAAGAATTCCAACTCAATGACAGCTTGAAGAACATTTAGGGGAGATGTCATAAATTATATACCATAAATAAGAAAGAACTAACAATTTACAAATGTAATCCAATGATAATGAATTCGTTCGGATTTTGAATTGTGAGAAACATAGTTCTAACAATTTTGTATTTGCAAGCAATCAAAATAAAAAAAGAAAAAAAAACCAAAGATGTGAATTCTCTTACCTAGCGAATTTCTTCAAGTTTATAGGCAGACCTGCTCTCGAAGTCTCCTCCAACATTTTCGTTCACTTTACACATTCCAATTTCGGGCATCCAAATATTTCTTCAAGCATGCGTGACTGCAATGCTGTAGCCTATGACCTGAAAGTGGTGAGAAACAAATCTAGCATTGGTGCCATCCCTGTTTAAATACTAGAAATCTACCATTATAAGGATTACTGATTAGTTCCAAGCAAGAACACGTCCTTTGTTTAACCACAAAAATTCTTTTTTTTTTTCAAATTGGTTTTACACAATGAATCCACATGCACACAAAGAAACTTTTCCAGCGAATAAACATTCAGCATATATTATAAGATAATTCACAAATTCGAAAATTTCATATTCTAACAGAAAAACACACAAAGGAACTTCCTTTCAACCAAGTGGAAAAAGAAATTTCTTCATATAAGAACCATCATAATCACGTTTAAGTTTAAATCAATATTAATCAAGTGCCTCATATTCACCTCTCAATAAGCCAAAAAAACATTTGGGTAAAAAGGAAGAGTAATTCTCTTATCATTAAGTTCCAATGAAATTCATAAACTCACAACCATTCAATAGCTGAATTACTGCAACCAAAACACAAATGACATTTTCCTCATCACAAATCTAACCAAAAAAAAAAGGAAATTGTGAAGAAGTAAGAGATGGTTCGAGTCTTAGCTTGTTGGAACACGTCTTGCAAAAAAGGGTTAGTCTCATATTCCTCTTTACCATTTCCTCTAAAACAAAGCCGAACTATCCACAAAATCCAAATCGCATTAAATAGAGAGGTCCTAGTGTAACACTCAAATATGAGAAAATAGAAATTTAATTTCATTAATCCTGAACCAAGAATAAATAAAGTATTTAACCGATATTCCTCTTGAGTGACCAGCCCAGAGGAAGAATATTCTTACAAAAATGAATAAAATAAAAACCCAGAAGGGAGAACCAAAAAAGGCAATAAAATACCTAAACATTTCTGGGAAAATCCTTTATGCCCAAGAAAAGAGTTGTTTTCTTTCAAATGAACATACCTTATTCTCCTCTATTACACTCATGATATTTTGTCCCTCGATCAAAAGTCGCATGATAAAATTTCATAATCGTAAATATGATTGAAAAGGCAAACATTTCATATGTGCATAAGTGTGAAGAATAATTGATTTGTACATACCTTTCGCCTGTACAAATTCATCCTGGTTGCAGAAACTGATTCTATTGGGTAACCTAGAATGAAGCATTCTATGTATTTGAGCAAAAATACTTCACAGTTCAGCCTATGGGAAAAATAGTATGAGATTAAATTTGACTAGTATGTTGAACGTACAATTATGTTCAACTGGGAATGAAATGTTATAGTACATAGTGAATAATTTAAATACTTGTCCATTATTTATGGAAGGTTGATATGGTATGATGTGTAACCCCATTACTCTGTTTGTATTTTTCTTTAGGTAATGTCTGTAGGTTGCGAACTTTAGAGTCATTAATAAGATTGTAGTTACATCGATCACTACATTTGAATGTGCCTTTATTTGCTCTGGTGTATGAACGTTCTGGCTATAGTCGTATATGTAAACTTTCCATTCGGGAGTGTTCACACAAAAAGAGATACCATGCGTTCCCTGGGTACGAATGGAATTAATAGGCACTTGCATTGTATCCATGGACGGCCACTTATTGGTAAATTGCCATTCATGTATTCTTGTAAGATGGGTAAATTTATTGCATCTTTTATGGTATGCGTGTCCCGAATCTCTACTTGTACCATCATATGACAAGTACACTCATTTTCATAGTTGAAATCTAGGATTGCATATTCTCTTGAAATAGTTGCAGGATTGTTGTTCATGCATCACCGCAACAATTTGAACTCCAAATCAAGATTATAATAAAATAAATAGATGTAAATTACATATATTACATATGGAATTAAATGTATTATGGTAAATGAATTTTACTAACAGCATTGGTTATAGGTTGGGTTGTGTCCATTATAACTTCTATTATGTCCTTTTTGTACGCATTGGTAGACCCCTCATTCCAATATGAGTTGCACAACAAAATATTATTACATTCGACAGCAATGAAATGAAGTCAAGAATGTGTAACAGAATAAAGTATAATTAGTCTTGTTACCTTGGTGGATTTTTTGTTATCCAATTTCTAAGTGGTAAGTATCTGTCCATAGAATAGTCTTCCAAATGATTATTTGTTGATGGTATTGAAGATTGTACCTTTTTCCCTTTCTTTTTTTGTTCTTTTGTCTATTGCGTAATGTCTTCAATTGGTTAAGATGTTTATGTATGTTGCCTGGTAGGACTTATATGGACAGAAGCATCTTGATGAATGGTACTTATAATGGCTTCCATATTTGATTATCAATTCGATAATCTATTGAATATACTGTTATGTTGTTCGTCAACGTGAAATCGTAGTGAACTGACACTATTATCTACATAATCCTACATGTTAGAATGTATGCCTCGGTAGTGGTTTTTTTGTCATTGTTGTTATTGTTGGAAGAATTGGTTTTGGTTGTCAAGAAGAGTTTAGGAAGTTGAATTATCTCCAGGATGCATTCTAGATTGCATGTCTTGATACTGGTCGTGTTGCTGCTTTTGATGTTGTTTGAATAATTCATCTTTGCGCTGAAGAATTGCTTCGTATTGGCGTTCTTGTCTACTTGACTGTTCAATCATGGTTGTTTTCAAGTCGTTGTACAAATCAGATACATTTGAGATAATGGATGTTTTCAAATCCCCACAAATACCATATACATCTGATACAATGTGTTGCCTATATGTATTCATCATTTGCTCAATTTCTTCTCTAGTCATGTAATTTCAGCTAATAGGAGTAGAACTTGAGGTAGCTGGAACTGAAGTATTATGAGTAGTTGGTATGTTATCAGTATGTGGGATTTGTTGTGGTACATTGTCCAATTCTCCGTTAATAATGGCGTCGAGTATCTCATGTTGGTTGTCTTGTGGCAATAAGAGAATTGTGTACCATATTGTTTGTAATTCTTTTTCTGAAGGTTGTAATAATGCAAGTACTTGAATCTGTAATTATAATAAAATATTGGAATGAGTTTTGAATTTTTGTCAGGGATGAAAAAAAAGGTTCAATTTATATTGTTATGTAATAAGTAATGTAATAGAATAACTGAAATACCTCTTGGGTAGACAGGAATTGTCTAACTGTATTCTCTGTCAATATTTTATTCGGTACCCATCTGGGCATTCTTGGTATTTGGTATATATATTTTTACGTTGTCCAAATTTTCGTCCAATTTGTGGGAATGTTTCGTATATCCAGTACTGATGTAATTGGAAACTTACATTAGATATATAAGAGCTATACAAATAAATTAAATTAAATATAGATTAGTAAAAATTAGAGAGTAAAAGAAAAATACTTGAAATGCAAGTGGATATCCATGTAATGTATATTTAGATTCGGTTTGCTCATTCTGTTGCATTCTTTGTACTCTTTTCAAATGAGATGCTTGAAATGAGTTTAGTAAAACAATATATGCTTTACGACCCCATGAATATGCAAGAAAGTCATGAATGTTCTCAACCATACCTAAGGTTCTGTGATCGATATATCTTCCAGTGGGTCTTAAGATACATTCTACGAATATTACCAGGCCTAGTTTGAATTTATCTTCTTCATTTGCATGTTGGTGGAAGGCTTCAGAGAGCATTGCCATTTTAATTTTTTTGGTACCATTGAAGTGCTGATTTCTAAGTCTATCATTGTTGAAGTCGAGGTTCATAAATACCTCGTGGCAAAGTGATCCTGTTATAAGACAAAATTCTTGTATACTGAAGCGGGC